AAAGAGTGAGAGCTATGTTATCAGCGCTGCAGAGAAGGTTGTGCTGCTCACAAAGGGCATGCAAGGAAATGGGCCACGAGCCCTGCCTTGCAACGGGCTCCCTGCACAACCCTGGTAGGCTCAGGGCAAGCAAAGTTTGCTCTTCAGCAAACCCCCACTGCTGCTCCACAGAGCACCCAAGGGAGAGATGCAATCTGAGAAGGGTTGTCGAGCCCCCCCGCCCCGAGAGCCCAGCAGCCCTTGGCTCACTCCCCAGGACGCTGTGTGCACTCCTCTGCCGACCCCCCACCCTGCCGGGGCTCAGCCTGCAGCGCAGCTCATCCCAGTCACGGCCCTCGCCTGATTTAACCATCCATCGCTGGCAGGGAAGTGATGAGGAATGAGCCAGCTGTGCTTTGGATGAGCTTTAGGGCTGTTTCCAACCACGGCGGAGCTTCACATGTGGGTTAGCAGTGGAAGAGGGACAGGAGCTTCGGGAAAAAGCCTGCCCTGTCCTGCAGCCAGTGTCCCACAGGGGGGAATACCCAAGGACCAGCCAAGCATGCAAGAGGCTCCTCTGAATCTCACAGCCCTGCTCAGTTCAGGGATTCAATCCCTGAGCTGTGGTTACCAGCACAGAGCTCCAATCCCTCCCAGAGATGCTTCCTCCGCCTCCTCTGCAATGTCACGTGTGCCTGAAGTCCCTGCTCCAGAAAGGCCTTTCCTGTCTCCACCACCGGGTATTTCTCACACTCCCCAACACCTAATCAGCATTCCTCTCCACAGCCGCCGCTGAACCATCTTTGATAGGACAGCTCCTCTCCACTGCAAATCGCTACTCCGTCGCATCCCTTGGGTGGCTGGGCTGGAGCTGCAGGAGACCCGTGGGCAGGGGCAAGGCTCTGGCAAACCTCTGTGTGCTGCAGCAGCCTGTTTCTCTGGTACGGGCAAGGCTCCAGGCCTGTTAGCCCCCTTGAATCCCTTGAGAAGACTCCACAGGGATCTCTGTCTCCCCATGGCCTCTGCAGACCCTCTAGCATTGCTCCTGATGATGGAAACGGGCTGATGTCCCTTCCCATGGACACTGTCCCCACTGGAGGCAGGTTCTCAGCCCTGTGGCCAGCTCCACAGAGCTGGCAGGTAGCCCAGCCCCCTTCCCAAGCGCAGGCTCTGCTTTCAAAGCAGCGATGCTCCATACCTACAAAGAGAACGAGGCAGGGGCCCTCATTCAGCTGCACAGCGTTGGAGTCCGTCAGCTCCAGCACAGGCTTGGGATGCCAGGGGAACTCGCGGCATTCGATGTCGTTCAGCACCTCCACCCGCCCCTGCCGCGTGATCACGTCTCCCTTGGAGTCCAGGACGATGAGAGTCGGGATGCCTGCGACAGAAGAAAAACAGGGGGGCTCAGCCAAAGCGTGAACTGGCCAGGGAACGGGCG